GACGAGGTCCGCCAGGTGATGGATTTACACGTACTGCTGAAGGGAATTATACTTTAGAAGGAAGGAAGTTATGCCACATTGCTGATCTAGTGGTGGATTCTGATGCAGTTTCACTGCATATTTTGCATAAACGGCTGAAAGCTGAACGTGATACAGTTGTGCAGAAATGGGAAGCCCAAGAGAGAAACATCAGGGATTTGAAAAGTGCATTCACTAAGCGTTTTGTGAGAGTCGAGAAAAAAATAGGACTTCACGAACGTGCAATTCCCAAAATTAATAAACAAGAAAATGGTGTTCAAGAGGCGAACAATAGCAGCGAAACTTGATCGCCCGACTCGACGAAACTACCCAAGAAGACGCGTTGAGGTTCGTGGCCTGGATGAAACGTGGCAGGCGGATCTCGTGGATATGATCAGATATGCACACAGCAACAAAAATTACCGCTATCTTCTAACGGTAATTGATATTTTCTCCAAGTATGCATGGGCAATTCCCATTAAATCAAAAAGTGCCAATGACATTGTGGATGCCATCAATCGATTCATTGGCATGTTAACATGCGCTTAGAGCAAAAATCGGTGTTATAAATTTCTCAGCCTTAGATTTTCCGTTGTCGAAGTTGGCAACGATCGACGCCGCTCCCTCTGCTTTCTCGCGCGCTGTTAGATAATTGAAAATTTAGGTTTTCTTTCTTATTTAAAACAATAATAGGATCATTGTACAACATTGTAATAGTATTAAAAATGTTTGTTGGTCCTTCATCGATTTGTTATTAATTAAATGAAATAATGAGTAAAAGTTATCATTCACTTCACTAATTTTCATTTGTTGACCCAAATTGATCTCGTCAATCGTTAGCAAATTGCAGCTAGGTAATAAATAATCTTTGAATTATCATTGTAGACCTAATTTTTCAATAGATATTCATTAACAAATAAGATCAGTCAGAGTGTGCTTATCAGCGCGTGCGTAGACACACATGTATCCGTGCGACCGTAATTTTCTTCATTATCGACATCCGTTTAGAAAATTCAAATGAAATAAAATTACTCATTGGATTAATTGATGGAGGTAATTAGCTATACCCCCATGTAATCAGGAAAGATAAAATGCAGCAATACGCGAATAAGCACACGGGAACATGACGGGAAGTGTGATAAGGACACTCTGACTAATCTTATTTATTAATTAATATCTATCGAAAAGTTAGGTGTACAATGATAATTCAAGGATTATTTATTACCTACGAATGATTTGCTAACGATGAAAAGTAGAAACGTGGGGTGTTAGCTTTTACTCATTGTTTTATTTAATTGTTGAAAAATTCATGGAGGACTTGCAAACATTTTCAATACTATTACAATATTGTACAATGACCCTAGTATTGTTTCAAATTTTAAAAAATAAATAAGTTTGCAATTATGTGGTGCTAATTGCCAGGGATCCATTTATTTTCCTGCTTGATCTCAGGTGATTTGATCTGAGATCTTTTGAGCATTTTTGTGTACTTTACAAACTCACCTGAAGAGGACTACCTATAACCTCACAACCTATAGTTTCCATTGTATCTAGTCTTTCACCGGTCATATTTGCCGAATGTCATTTCCAAGAAACTCAACAGATATGAATCATTCTGTGAATGTGAACTAGGAATTGACGCGCAACGGTTGGCACACCAAAAACTTAGCTAAAAGTTTTAAGAAAAAGTAATGTTTTCACGTTCCTGGTTATAAAACAGTTAAATTGAGCGCCCAGGATAGCGAAGAAGACCTGAGAGTGTTACCTCGGTGATTTGAGAGCTTGAGACTCTTGAATCCCAAGTGTAAGGCAAGGCGCTTGATTTTGAGGTTGCGGAGCCTCCAACGACAATCGACAGGGGCCGGCGGGGAAAGGGCAAGGGACGCCGAACCTGATAAGGGCATGGGCACCCTAAATGTAAATCACCCCCGGCATCGAACCCCTCCAAAGGCTCAGCCAGAGGAAGGGGAAAGCCACTGCACTGTTAAAAATTTCTTTGGTAATTTTACAAGAAATGTGTTGGAAGTATATGCTCAAAGCAGTTTTGTAATTCAATAAGTCGGACTTTGTAATTTTACAAAACATTTCTTATTTTTTTTTGTTTCGGAAAGTT